AAAAAAAAAAAAAAAAAAAAAAGGCAAAGCAACTCCGCAGCCAGGGAGCTTTCATGCAATCATAGAATCATAGAACGCTTTGGGTTGGATTGGATCTTAAAGATCACTTAATTCTGACCCACGGCCATGGGCAGCCATGGACACCTCCCACTAGACCAGGTCGCTCAAAGCTCCCTCCAACCTGGCCGAGAAGACTTCCAGGGAGGGGGCATCACAACTTCCCTGGGCAACCTCTGCCAGTGTCTCACCATCCTTACAGGAAATAATTTCTTCCCAATATCTAATCTAAATATGCCCTCTTCCAGGCTGAAATAGTTACCCCTTGTTCTACCACTCCATGGCCTTGGAAAAGGTTCCCCCCCTCCCCCCCCCAGCTTTCCTGTAGGCCTCCTTCAGGTACTGGGAGGACACTCAGGGCTCCCCAGAGCCTTCTCCAGGCTGAACAAGCCCAGGTTTCCCCCACCTGCCTTCACAGCAGGAGCGCTCCATCATCTTTATGGTTCTCCTCTTGGAGATGGGTTTACCCATCTTAAATGCCTGTTAGTACCTTCCTAGAACCCTCCTGGATACGAAAGAGGCAAAGTGGTTTTATTTGTTGGAAGTTGCTAAATAAAGTTTTGCTTAGTGTGGAAAGCCAGTGGAGGCCACTGAAAAGAACTGTTGAAATTAGACCATGAGGCTGCTGAGGAAATTCAGATGGTCCCCACCTTGAGAAGAATCCAGTGACTCTATGGCATGAAAACAATCCAATGAAAAAACAGCCCTTGACTTCAGAAGAAATTAATATGAAAAAATGAATAAGAAAAACCAAAGTTGCTTAACTTTCCAGGCATAATTATTTTGTTAGAAACTTGAAGAAGACAGTGGTGAAAATGGAACAGGTTATCTAGAAAATACTTTTTTACACTAGTGGCTTAGACCTTTGCATGCAGTAAAAGAACCTGAGCATAAGTTACATAGAAAACATTTTAAGGGACATGTTCAGGTGTTAAATGAGGCTAAATTTGCATGCACAGAGAAAGTACATCTACTGCCATTCATCCATGCAGCCACAGAGAAAGAAATCAAAGTTTGGCAGGATGATGTGCCAGCCTGTACAGAGCACACTGTACCAGATAAACCTTCTGACCATTATAAAACAGTATGAAATCTGAAGAACTACTTTGAGCATGGAAACCATGGACAGAAAGTCCTCTCCTACCTTCTGCTAGAAGATTGTAGGTAATAATTTACACCACCGAAAGCAAGTATAATGTATAACACCATCAATTCAGGATGATGTGGACAAATTTGTACACACAGCAATAAAAAAGTCAGGCCTGTGTGTTAAATACTTACTAATCACAGTTTATGGTAAATGCAGGTGATAATCATGTACAAATGTAGGGGTTTCTCTTGTGTTTGCTTGCTCTTTCCC